CGGGGAAGTAGCGGTTCCAGCTGCTCCTGTGCACAGAAAGAGGCCACGAGCCGTCTTTGTGTTGCAGAGGCAGCGAGTTTGTTTGCTTAACCGTGCATTGTGTGCAGCTCGCTGCTTGCGGCCCTTTCGTTGCAAGTCCTCTTAATGCCATCGCCTCCCCCTGCTCGTTGTCCTCAGGACTGGAGAGAGGAGCGCGTGTGTGCACGGGTTGTTCCTTGCCTCAGGCTCATTAGCTGATGGTCCCGACACTTAACTTCACACCCAGTGTGAAGACCCTCGGGTAGACGAACACAGAACGTTACTGCGCTGGTGCTTCAGTGCTTGAGTCTGTTTGGGAAAATACATCAAAGGGCAGGAGAAGAAAGGCACACGTGTCAGTGAGATCATCATTTGGGCTCCCACTGAGAAAAGCCTTCGATTTTGTAGCTACAGGTGCAATAGCTTTTTGTTAGATTTCAGTTTTGTTGCTCTGCCTCCCAGTGTTTGAGATGGACTGTGCTGTGGTAAAATACTGTGTTTTCTTCCACTGCAATGCCATTTTACTTTAGATTTAATTCCAGATAACCTTAACTACAGCCTCCGTAATTTTTTACAGCTTCTGTCTGTCATGTCCCTTCATAGGATGCAAAGCCTGAAATGGAGCATGCAGTCTTGAATCTTTCCATTCTTGAGGTCACTTCTAGATGGGACTGTCACGTATTGAGGGAAGGTCTGAGTTTTCTCCCTAAGTCACCTCTCTCGGCCATTCCATTGCCTTCAGTGCCTGGGCTTCTTAGGTGGAAATAGGTGTCAGCTCCCTTAGGGTGGTATCTCCCTATGGAGCCTAGACCAGCTGCATTCCTTTTGATAGTTCACTAGAAGGTCTGTAAAGCAGAATTTAATACAGAATCAGATTTTTGTGTCTCCAGCCCCAAGACGCAGCTGATAGTCCTTGAGATTATATAAATTGGAGGAAAAATAAATATGTGTATAATAATTAAAAATAAGAATAAAAATAATAATAGGAAGAATTCTCTCACAGAGGGTAACATTTATGCTAGAGTTGGAGCTGCCAGCTCCAAGTTGACATTATGTGGTTGGAGAACCAGCTGCTTCAACAACTCTCTGCTGGCCTAGCTTTCTTTCTAGTGAAATTCCTCTCCTGTGAGTTACAGTGAGCCTGGCATTTCTTGAGGCAGTGTTGCCTCAGACTGCTGCTGAGGTGTTTTGCAAGGAGGAAAAAAGCAAAAGCAAATTCAGGATCGTCCAGCTCTCCTCTGTGCTGTGGGCTCTCTGCCAGGGAGTTGTGAATATTTTGCCAGCTGATGTCGCTGCTGCCATTTCTGACAGTATGGCCTTTGGTGTGGGCACCTGCTCTGCAGCAGAACTGTGCAGAAGAAGCACATATTGGTGCTGCTGCAGCAGCAGGCCTAGGGAACCCAAGAGCAAATATGAAAGGAACCTGATCAGGCTGATGCCCATGAACAGACTGAGCTGCCACAAATCAGGTTTGCTGCTTTCTGGCAGGGGAATGGTCTGTTATAGTGCTGGATCTGTGTATACATAACGACCTTAAAGCTCAAGTCATAAGGCACTAATAAAACAAGCATTATACAGATTTAAGCTAGTTAGGTTACTGAAAGAACCATTTTTTTCCTAGACTAAAGAAAAAAACACTCCATTTTGATCCAGGCTTCTGTTAGTGTAGTAATCTTCTGTGTTTACTGAATGCATGCATGAACAGTGGTAAAGGTGATCTTCTGTTGATTTTGAGTTTTGTGACTGCTCCTGTTGTGCACTTACATGCTTCATTAGGCAAAAAATTACTCATCCTAACATTTATGTAGTTTTCAAGATTTTCATGAGCAATCTCATTATTTGAATGTTTGAGATAAATATGCAACATGAGTAGCATGGGATCATCCGTACCACTTCAAACAGTGATCTCTGTGTTTTCTAGTGCTAGACTGTGTTCAGGTTTGGAGATGGTGGCTTTTTACTCTTGTTTTTGCTTGCACTGCTCCTCATGCTCCACAGGGGGGTAGCAAAAGGAAATAAGAGATCTGAAACTGGTTAAGCCTATCAGCATTTACACCGTCAGGTGTGGAAAGATTTCCCAGAGAAGATCAGAGCCTCTGCTTGATGAAACAAAGTGCTCGATGAGCCAACTAATATAGTGTTTGAACGAAAAAGGTCTCTATAAATTTGAAAGTTAAGAAAAAGCAGAGTACGAGACTGTATGTTGTGGAATGGGGTGTTGTACATTGAATTCTGGTGGTTTTGCTTGAGAAATTTTATGTCTTTAAAAATAAAAAATGGTGGAGCCATGCATCAATAACTTATACTAGAATGTGTCCATTTTTTTTTGTTCCAAGCGACTCAGCCAAGATACGAATTTTTCAACTTTAAAGTATGATGAACTTTGCAATAACTGGTTGCATTGGAGGGGAAAAAAGAAGCAGTAACATTTTCTCTGTGTGTGATAAGTGGTGACATTACTTTCAATATCATTACTAAGCTTGAGTTTCTGAAGGGTCTGACAATACCCATTCCATCCAAAGAGCTAGAAGTGTTCTGAACTCAAAGGAAATCTTTACTTGATTGAAAATAGAATTATCCCTCGAAAGACAAAACCAAAATAATTTTCAATTATGAACTAGAATTAAGAAATTCAGATACATTCTTCTTCAGCTGGAGTATGAAATCACAGCGAAGTTTAGTCTCAGTGAGAATATATGTTTCAAAATTACTATTTTCTTCCCCTTTTTTTTTACAAAAGAGCTAAGACAGATGAGCAATGTCAAGAACAAGAAATTGGTGATTACTAAAGCATGCCAGATGGGTGGTCATTATGACTCACTTTATACTACTTCGTTACAAGTTGTATCAAAACAAAACACAGGGCTTCCAGCCTGATTTCCTAAGGAAATAAAATATATATTACTTAAGTGACCCTTTGCCCTCTCTTTTCCCTTTCCATTATGCTTTTAAATTGTTAGTCGATCTCATAAAAATTTGGGAAAAAATTATGTGGAAAGATTGCATTGAAAAGTAGGAGGAGCAAGAGTCTGTTAAGTTTTTACTTA